AAGCTGCCCGACTTTCTCCTTCACGTTACCAACTCTATACTCTCTAACTTCAAGGGTTTCAACCCCCAATCACTTAGAACATAAAATTCCTCAACATTCAATAGAATACAACTCAAAAACACAACCCAATCATGTCCCACAACCAACAATAATTCCAACAACAATAACAACTAACAACTTTAACAACATATATAACCAAAACCTTTCTTAATAAATAAAAGGGGCTAGGTGTGTGGGGGAAGGGATCACCCAACACTAAAAAGCTCACATACCTTAATAGGGATCACCCCCGACGAAAATCCACGATGATCTTGACGGAATTTGCTTGATCTTCCTCTTTCTTCTCTTCTTCTTCTCCTTCTTCTCTTCTTCCTCTCTTCTTCACTCTCAAGCCCTAGCCTTCACTCTCTTAAAAAATGGAACAAAAATGATCCAAAGATCAGCCCTATACAACAATATAATCCCAAAAGAATTGGCTATGGAAAAGACTAAAATGCCCTTAATGATTCCCGGATGGATTTCCTTGTCAACAGCCCAACTTTCAAAGGGCATATCTCACTCATACGAACTCGGAATCGAGCAAACTCAGTGGCGTTGGAAAGATCGTTCCATGAACTTTACAACCATAACCGGAACTCCACCTAACTCATCCTGAGCTAGAATTTATGGCTGTTCAAAGTTGGAGAAAAATTTACATTTTCCAAAACTTTAAAATTCTTTCCAAAAATGAAAATTTCCAATTCTAAGCCTCTTCAATTATTTCATATTGCCGGATGTTACACACTTGCACCACCAAAACGCGGTCTTACTTGTTTAAAAATTTTACTGGGGACAACTCCTAATCCCAAACATCTAACCCTTCCAGAGTGTTCTTTTCCTAAAACCTTACCAACAGCATCATTTGGCGAAATTTGAGACTCATCCATGGTACTTTGGCTCAAAGTTAGCTCAATTTTTTCCTATACATACAAAATCAATGCCACAAATAAACAAGCAGTAATATTGGAATCACCTTAGTAAAGACAGAAAGATAAAAACTACTTATATGTACACGTAATAAGAACATGAGTAGTTAGAGGTATGGGACCACATGCCATCATAGTACAATTAAAAAGCAAATAATTAAGTCTATATAACCTCCATCAATTAATCAACTAATTCACAACTATTGCCATATCTTTCTTTTTTTTTTATCTTGTTGAAATACAATTAGAATTCATGAAGAAACTTACACATATTTCTTTTGCAGCTTCATTAACATATACTCCATCTTTATTTTTATGAGTAGCAATATATATTTGTGCTCGTCCAGGTCTTTGTCCTGTTTCAGCCACCTACAAATAAAAAATCCAAATAAGAATAATTTACTACTAAAAAATGATTACATAATAAGTTAATTTACTAATCACCATTTCTGCCCTTCTCGTAGCATTCGCTTTGGAGCCACCTGTGTGTGGAATTGTCTGTTTTTTCCGATTTTCAGTATTTCTTCTACGCATTTCCTTATAAAAAATATACGAAACTTAATTAAAAAAATCAAATAGTTACATGATAATAAAGACTAGTAAAAACAGTAACATAAGTACCTTTGTTGAATCTTTATATTGGTAATCAACAAAGAAATCCATTGATCTCGTGGAATTCCATCTGGCACATTATCAATAATCTCAACCTTACTTTTAAGTGGGTCTTCGACTAACTTCCACAAGTTGTTCTTATTTGCAGCCCACTTCTTTCCAATAGATTTATAAATATGTTGCCGCGCATTTGACTCTGTTGTCTTAAAGGAGAACTTGGGCTTCAAGAAAAAAAAAATTAGTTAGCTTATCTATAGGTTGTAAATATACTATTGAAATTACCAATTATCTTTCTCACCAAAAAGTAAAATAGAGTAAGAGTCTAGTTGTAAGCTTATACCTTTATAATTTGATCGAAGACACGATTTAAGTATGACATAGGCACACTCGACCACTTCTCAAAGTTGATTGGAAATAAAGAGCAATCACATGCTAAAATTCCACAAAAGTCTGAAAGAAGGCTACGAGCCTCTCCAAATGGTTCATTTAGGTAATCAAAATTAACCACAATAAGTTCATCAACTGATAAATTAAGCACATCTGTTTTTTTTACTTTGAGCCGTTTGACATTGTTTTCTGAATCTATAATAAAAACAAAGATAAGTTGAAGCTATGAGAGAAACAAATAATGGTTATTGAATATGCGCTGATACTCAAAATTATTTACCTATTGCTTCTACAGTCCAATATGACTGTGATTCACGCCCAATACACTTTTTGAATAGAGCTTGAACTGTTGGAACTTGTTGTGACGAGTCTTGTTCTGTTGAAGCCGGATGTGATGTCGAGTGAACTAAATGAGATGGTTGTGATGTAGGATAAGCTGTCGGAGCCAGTTGTGACATAAGTTGATCCATCGTAGCTGAATGTGATGCCGAGTCAACTGATTGAGATGACTGTGATACAGGCTGAAATATTGGAGGCGCCTGCAATGTCGGCTGAAATAGTGGGACTGAATGTGTTGTGGCCAGAAATGATGTGGTCTGATGTGGTGGCAGACTTGATGTTGATTGGAGAAATGAATGTGTTGATTTCGCACCTTGAGAATCAGATATTAATTGATCTGAGTTTTGTTTTTTCTGTAAACACTTGAACTTTGGCATGCTGGCAATTCAATATTTCAAATCCTGTAGCATGAATCAATTAATTTCATAAGAAGTTAAAAAAGATTCAGCCAAAAACAACAGCTTAAAACTTCATCTTAAGCCCTTGAAACTAAAAAAACAGCAACCAAAAATCTGCAGAAACAACAGCTTAAAACTCACAAAATTAGCAACTAAAAATTGAAAATATAGTAGATAAATCACAGTAGAAACAACAACTTGAAACACAAAAATTCAGCACCTAAAAGCAACAAAATAGTAGCTAAAAACTGCAAAAAGAGCAACCAAAAATCTGCATATAGTAGCTAAAAACTGCAAAAAGAGAAACCAAAAATCTGCATAAACGGCAGTTTAAAACGCCAAAAAACAGCAACTAATAACCTGCAAATACTACATCTTAACCATAAAAAATAAGCACCTGAAACTAAAAAACCAGCAACCAAAAATCTGCAGAAACAGCAGCTTAAAACTCACAAAATCAACAACTAATAACCTGCAAATACTACATCTTAACCATTAAAAATAAACACCTGAAACTAAAAAAACAGCAACCAAAAATCTGCAGAAACAACAGCTATAACTTTCAAAATCAGCAACTAATAACCTGCAAATACTACATCTTAACCATAAAAAATAAGCACCTGAAACTAAAAAAACAGCAACCAAAAATCTGCAGAAACAACAGCTATAACTTTCAAAATCAGCAACTAATAACCTGCAAATACTACATCTTAACCATAAAAAATAAGCACCTGAAACTAAAAAAACAGCAACCAAAAATCTGCAGAAACAACAGCTATAACTTTCAAAATCAGCAACTAATAACCTGCAAATACTACATCTTAACCATAAAAAATAAGCACCTGAAACTAAAAAAACAGCAACCAAAAATCTGCAGAAACAACAGCTATAACTTTCAAAATCAGCAACTAATAACCTGCAAATACTACATCTTAACCATAAAAAATAAGCACCTGAAACTAAAAAAACAGCAACCAAAAATCTGCAGAAACAACAGCTTAAAACTCACAAAATCAGCAACTAAAAATTGAAAAAATAGTAGATAAATCACAGTAGAAACAACTTAAAACACAAAAATTCAGCACCTAAAAGCAACAAAATAGTAGCCAAAAACTGTAAACACTACAGTTTCAAACACAAAATAACAGCAGCTAAAAGTAGAAAAAATAGCTACTAAAATATTGCAAAAATTGCAGCGTCAAACACATAATACAAGAAACTAAAAAGAGAAGAGCCAACAACTAAAAACTTCTAAAAAACCAGCTCAAAATGCAAAATATTGTCCAAATCTTTGCTATTTCATTCATTCATATTCTCATCTATTGCAATTTGGATATTCTCGTAGTCATCATCAAAAAATTGTCCAAATTCTTGTTGTTGGTATGGCTCATTCTCGTACAGATCCTCTTCATCAACCTCTTCCATTTCAAACAAATCTCTTGGCTTTAGATGTACAACGACACTCCATTCTTTATCAGTCTCATCATCAACATAGTAGACAATATTTGCTTGTGATGCTTCAATATATGGATCATGATCCTCACGATCACCAGTGTGAATCAATTAGAAAATTGACACAGTTAAACTTCCAAGCATCTATTTGTACCCTCTATTTCGAGTAGTATCAGCCCATAGACACTTGAAAAGAATAACTTTGAACCTGCCATAATAATTAAGCTCGATAATCTCTTCTAACTTTCCATAATATGGTAGGTCCGCTTGTCTTGCACACCTATCTACACTAGACGCAATACAAGAAGTGTCAGAGATGAGAAAAACTCCACTATTTTGAGTTTTTGATCCTTGTTCTCTAGATAAAGTTCGAAATTTGAATCCATTAATGTTATAAGCACTAAATCTTCTTGCATCTTGTGCAGGACCTTGTGCTAAAAACTTCATATCATCAGAGATAGTTTCTGCGATATCTGGGTTCACAATCTAAACAAACATAATATATCTGTCAGAGATACTAAATTGACAAATAAGTATGTTCAAAAAAAACATTCTAAAATTATTTACTCACTCGCTTAGGAAACCAATCAGGAAACTCTTTACTAACTCTCTTCTCTACCTCTGTTGTTGAAACTCTTCGACCTCTTGTACTTCTTTTGATGTGCTGTCTGAATTCACTACAAAATTGTTATATATATTAAATTTTTACCTGATTATTCTACACATTTCGTAAAAATCAAAATCAGTTTAAATTTCATACTCAATGAATGGCTTCACTGCTGCGCAATTAAGTAACACATATCGATGAGCTTGAGTTTTCTCTAAAGTAGTCAATGGTTCTGCTGTGGAGCCTCCAACAGGTTTACCTTGTTGTGGAAACATAGATGACTTTCCAGAAGCTTCATTATGATTTGGTTCATCATTTACACGTTTAGGTCGATTCAACTCAATTTCGTCAAAATAACGAGAGTAAAGAGTTAGAGCTTCTTCAACCTTATGCCCCTCAGCTATTGAGCCTTCTGATTGAGATTTGTTCCGTACGAGAGACTTAAAATGACCTAACAATCTATGATCAAGCTAATGAAGTGTTAGAAAACTTATTTATATTTAAATTATATTCCAGATTCAATTCAATAATTTTGAATAAGAAATTTTTTACCTTTCAACAAAATACATCCAGCGATAATGTACAGGCCCACCTTGTTTTACTTCATCAACTAGATGGACAGTCAGATGAATCATTACAGTAAAAAATGAAGGGGGAAACAATATCTCTAGATGACTCAAGGTTTCTACAATTCGATTTTCTAGCTTTTCCAGCTCAGAGATGGTTAAGCTCTTCATACAAAGCTGCTTAAAAAAGGAAGAAAACTCTACCAGAGTTGCAACGACCTGATTTGGAAGAACATTGCGAATTGTTATCGGTAACAACTGTTCCATGAAGATATGACAATCATGACTCATTAATCCAAATATTCTTTTTTTATCCAAATCAATGCAACGAGATATATTACTTGCATAATTATCTGGCACTAAGATATTCTTTAAAGTCTTGAGGAAGGCCAATTTCTTCTTCTTTGGAATTGTAAATGCACCAAGCCGACATTCACCATTCTCATCCGGCCATAGATCGCGCCATATACACATGCCTTGTAGATCTTTTCGAGCCTTAATATGATCCTTTGATTTTTCTTTATCATTTAGCAAGGTATATATGATGTTGTCAAACACATTCTTTTCAATATGCATAACATCTAAATTGTGGCGCAACAAATTAGACTCCCAATATGGAAGATCAAAGAAGATGCTTTTTTTTCTCCATTGTTGAGTTCCACCTTCATCATCATTTCTTTGCTTGTTTCGTTTTCTTTTACGATTCAACTCTGCCAGTCTTCCAAATGTGACATTGATATCTTTCACTTGTTGAAAAATATCTGATCCTGATAACTTCTTTGGAGGGGTCCTCTCTTCCACAGTTCCATCAAAATGATGCCTCATCATTCTAAATTTGTGATTTCTAGATAAAAATCAACGATGGCCAATAAAACACCACTTTCTACTATGAGGAAGTC